CCAGGTCAGAGTTTCTCATTTGACAAAAATAAGGTAATCTATCATTTCTCAAGCTCTTGACTTGGGGGGACATAAAAGTGAGGAATGTGACGACGGCGGTCAAGATTCAAAGATTTTTCTTCAAAATTGTCAAGGCATATCTTTTAAACTTGGTACCGAATTAATGCTGCAGGCGATATTAACATTCAAAACCCTTCTTCGCATTAAGTCATCTTAAATATCCAAAAACAGTTCAACGCGCAATTGGGATGAAAATATTCCTGAGCTTAAAAACAATATTATTCCACAATATTTTTTATATATAAAATCACGTTGTTTAAAAGCAAATTATAAAAGTTTAACCCGGATTCCTTTTACTTCGCAAAAGAAACACAATTTTCATTAAATGGAATTCTTTGTTTATAACTCAAAAAGAAAAAGTAAAACTTGCAACTCGGCAGCTCTTCTGCAAATAAGTACGTAAATTATTCTGCAAGCTCGAGCAGAACATTGCGACAAAAATGAATCTCTCGCAGCAGCAGCTGCTCTCAAGAGATTGCATTTTCCAGGAATTTCAGTTTTTCTCAAGTCTTTGATTAAATAAAACACGCGGCGATTATCAACAAGCTCGACTGCTGGCTTTGTGGGCTGCATCGTTACGTGCCACACAGTGGTACATTATTTGCCCAGAGAGAGAGAGAGAGAAGCTGCGACTCTAGGGTGTTCCGCAGCGGGGACAACTTTTGATTGAACTAAACTTCATATCTGCAGAAATAATGCCATCAATGGTTCTCTCCCGGCGTTGCGATGAAAGTTAAACACAACTAACTGCGGGAAGCGCTGCAGCCGAGGGATGAGTTCCAATATTGCTTTTCTTGATTGTATTCCAGCGCCGCTTCATGTAAATTTGATTGCTGAAGAGCGATAAAAACTTGCAACATGAACTTTTCTCCACATAACATCGGCGACTGTTTAATTTCTTATTGTGCGAGTTTAATTTGAAAGCATAAAGTTATTCGATTCATGATTTCTTTAGGGACTCAATATGAAATGGGATGCATAATTATGTAAATAATTTAAATTTGCCGTATTTATTTAAAGAAGAACCTCCCATTTATTGTTTTTGTAACATTTGCTAAAATACAATAAAACTAAATGAATTTGTTTCGAATTTGATTAAAAAGGTTTATTCTTTTATTTTGTATACTTACTGGTTCGTTAGCTCGAACCTCCGACCGAGAATATTATAAAATCTTTACCCAAATTAATTTGACAGCAGTTTAAGTAACCCCTGTGCAGTTTTAAGCAAAACAAAAGTTAAGCGTTTCCAATTTCCAACCCTCGCCCAAAGAACAGCGGCGGCCATATTGTTTGGCAGGAAGGGCATGCGCGGACTGAGCCACTAAGAATCTCCGGCGACCATATTTGAATTTGTAGAACTATGAAGTTTTTTTCAATACCCAAATATGAATTATCTTGACATTTTTTTTTCAGAAATCAACCCTCTTTAATTAAATAGACAAATTATGAAATTAAAAACAATTTTACAATTTTGACTCTTTTGTAAAAGCTCCATCCCCTTTAAATTCCACCGCGGACTCTCCATTTGCGCTGATTCGGCATCAAAAATGAAGGAAGCTCGCGGTTCGGCCAAATCACGTTGCTGCTGATAGTGTAAGACGCTGCTCATGGTATATATTTAATTAAGTTCTCAGCGCTAATGAACACGAGTTGAGCCGCGAAGCAACACATCATTTCACCCCAACTCGCGTCAAAGAGAATTTGCTCAAGACGTTTCATGCTCAATTGGGCTCGAGTCAACTTCAAGGAACGAGAAGTCTCAATTTAAAATCGCAGCACTCGGATTAATTTTGTTTTAATTTCAGTCGAAATCATGAATGCCTGCGACCCCATTTGGCATGGACAAAACAATACTGCTTCAATGTTCAAGATCATTCAAGTGGAAAGGGTCAATTCCGCCGAGTTGTGTGTGTGTGTGTGTGTGGCACATAAATTCGTGTATGAATAGAAGCGAAATATAATAGTGCGTCTCCGAGAGAGAGAATGGAAGGGCCTGGTACGCATTTGTTATTCATTTGAGGCGCGTCTCGCTTGGCCAGTGTGGCAGAGCGCCAGAGTATGTATGACGGAGAAATGGATCTGCATCTTTGTAATTTCCTCGGGGCGGCCGTCAGCATTGCCTACCCCTTCCTTTTTGCAGCGCGGGATCCCTCATTATTCGATGATCAATAGCTGTGCGAGAGCTTCTTGCGGCTCCAGTAATAATGCCGTCATCGCACTTCATAACCCTGCAAGCAAAGTGAAAATACGCTGCGCTGTCCATCCCTTTGCGGCGTTTTGGCCGATTTTTCATTAGGGGAGGAGGAGCGGAAATGCCCACAACAAAGTACCTTTAGGATGCAAATCTCATTTTAGAAATGCAAATATTTAAAAATTTCTTAGTTTTCTTTGTTTGATGTTCATTCAGAACTACAGATATTTAAATTAATGAGAATAAAAAAGGTAATTAATATTTTTCAAATATTGTATTTAACAATTGAGGTTGATTAAAATTGAAATTCAAAATCTCTTCAACTCTCTTTTGGGACAATAATAGGCAGATTTATTTTTGATCTTCTCAGTACAAAGTAATTTCAAATATTTTAATTTTCTGGTTAAATTTTTCCCCTTCTTCTTCAATGTATTTGTTGAATTTAATAATTTTCAAGATTTCCATTTCCTCATTATTTGTAAATTAAACTTCAGTCAAATTTCCACTACTGATTTATACAGGGAGGAAAGTAATCGGAACCCTCTCTGGCCCTCTATACCGATGGCTAAAAATAAGGAGCGCACTTTTGACATCTCTCAACCCCTCTTTCTCTCGCATATTGTTCACCAAAAATAATTAATGGTTCAGCTAGTCATCGCGCGGTGTGATAATTTTTCATCCTTTCTTTCTCTGCTTCTCTCTGATGAAATTTTACAGCGCGCGTGGCGTGCGATCTAATAAAGTTTATAAACCGTGCTCTGTGCTCCCTGCGAGCGTTTACAACTCGCCTGTTTAAAAACTTCCATATTTCAGTTGCACGCACGAATGAAATTATCCATACATTTGAACCCGCGAGTTCAATAAAAGTTTTGAATTATTAAATGAAAGAGTCTCTTTTCTCATCGCATCAAAGAGCTTCCTTTTGCGCATAAAAGAGTTCAATATTAATGCGAGTCAGTCAAGGATGAAAACTGTTCTCAAATTGCTTTTGAAAAATGAACTTCGAATCGCTGAGCGTTGCATTAGAAGCTAATCAATCGCGTGAAAGAATCTGAGCGACGACGGAGTTTTTTTATTATTCTCTTCAGTGCTCCGGGGGATCAAATTTTTCACATCACATAAAGTGAAGAAAAGATGATTAAAATAAATAATTGAATTAAGCATCAATAAATTGGGCCAAAAGAAATTGATAAATTTTTTATTCTTTAAATCTTGTTCGCATCAAAATTGTGTATGTATTGCATTTTGATCAAAAGGAAAGAAACCTCTGATAACTGCACGGCGTGGGTGCGAAACGAAAACAGTCTGTGCTGGGCTGGTGTCGCATGTGACTTTGTGAACCGCGTATGCTGTGTGGCGCAACCCCAAGGAAGCCCCTTTGCAAAATCAATATTAATGTCATACAACGTTTGATGAAAAAAGCGGGGAGCGAGACACTCACTCCAGAGAACAGGGAGATAACATACGGCGGAGGAAAAGACGACGAGAGAGGAATCCACTTGACAAACGCCAAAAAATGAAACTGCGCTGCATAATGTACTCGAGGGCATCCGAAGCCCTCAAGTGCACAAATATTCGTGTCTACGTGCATTACTTCAAGATACATCCTTTGTTCGATCGCTTCTGCTTAATAATTGAGTTTAAAGATGATTTTTTTTAATGCCTAAAATTTCAATGGAATACAAAATATAATTATCTCAATCAGACTGAAATATGTTAAAAAAGCTTCATTTTTTAATTTGTAAAATCTTTACGGAACATGCAATTTCCAGTCAGTGACGCGCTATTTTAAAATCAAAATAACATTTTCAAAACGACTTTAAAAAAAAATAAATTCGCCTATGAAAAATGACACGAGGCATATCTTGTGGTTTTGTCTGGTTGCCTATTTTAAAGGGGCGAAATACTTTGTATCTTGACCTTTTGCCAGGATCAATGATCTTTGACCTTCAAACTTAGTTATAAATAATAAAAAAAGAAGCATTGGTTCATTATAGCTGCAACCTCCCACCAAGAAAATTAAAATTCTTTAACTGAATTAATTTCACAGCAGATTTTATAAACCCTTACCTTATTTATTATTGGCCAACATAATGGAATTAATAAATTTTGAAAAATATTCATTATTCCCATTATAACATCCAAAATATGAATGGGTGTTTTTTTTATGCAGGATCTTCAAATTTCAATCGCTCATTGTCATAGAACCTAGAAAAATGTATAAAAAAGCACATTTTTCAACGTTGAAAAAATTTAGTTGGAGACTTCTGGTTTTCTTTATGGCATTAACTATCAGTTTTGTCGATGATTTTGCTGCCCTGAGGCGGTTCCATCCTCTTTAAAATTAACTTTGCGAAATTTAAATTATTAAATCATATCATGATATTTTTGAATCGCACTCCAGGAAGTTAAAAGCAATAAAAATGCTACTTAACTATGTTTCTGAATTAATTTGTTTCCAATTTGGAATGATAACTGACAATGAGGGTGAAATGATAATTAGTTAATTATTTTATTGCAAAATTATTTGTCACAAAAAAACACAAAATTCCTCAACTTATTTTTGTAAATCTCTCTGAATTTTCACCTTCGATCAAGGAATTGATTTGATTTCTAAACGGCGAGCAAAAAAGTTAAAGCTCGAAGGCCACGCGGAGTGAAAAGAGCCGCGTGGAGCCGAAGCTTGCGCGCGCGACTCGCTGCGATCAGAGGGGGCAGCAGGAGCGGCGACGATCGGCAGCCGCGGCTCCTCCGTCCTCGCCTCGCCAGTGTCAGAAAAGCCTCCGCAGAGGCAACTCTCGTCGTCGGTGCATTCGCATCCCTTTGTCAATACAAACACACATACTGTGGGCGTGATCGCGAGGTGAGGATAATTCTTCTTCGCAGTTCAAAGTGAGAGTGCTCGGTCGGCCTTTCCGCGGATTTCGGCCGCTTTAATTGTTCTTGTGCGAGTGGATTTTGTCGCCGAAAGTGCAAAGTCGCCCGTTTCTTAAAGGTGCACGCTTCGAGTGGATTAACTCGGACCTTTGCAGGTAAGATTTTAAATTTTTTTTTTCTCAAATTATAAGGAAAGAAAGGGTTGAAATCGGCCGAGAGCGTTTTATTTTTATTTAGGCGCTCGGCTCAGAGTTGAAACTTGAAAGTCGAGTGTCAGTCATACCGTTAGTCGAGAGACGCACCGTAAACAGGCCAACATATAAAACAGCGAACGCGTCAAGTTGGCGAGGCGACTCGGTAAACACTTTTATTAGTTGAAAGGAAGGAAAAAACGACAGACTCTTCTCTCCTAGCCAAGTCAGAGGAGATTGCTTTTCAAGGTTGGCATTTTCCTTGTTTGGGAAATAAACGCTTTTTCAAATGAAATCACCTGAGTTGCGAGCAATTAAATGATGAGTCAGTCGCAAGAAGTTGCCTTACACTTAAGAAGGGCAGCCTAAATTTCGTTAAAAGTCAAGAGGAAATCTTTTAAAAAATATACAAAAAATAATAAATTAAGCATTAATAGAGTGTGAAATCAATTTTAGGAAATTTTTCATAATTTAAAAAATCAGAAAGTTGTTGAAATATTCAACTTTTTATAAAGAAAATTATTTTTAGAAAATATAAATAATTCCTTTTTGTATAAAATATTATTTTTCATCAAATAAGTCTTCCTTTTTCAAAAGAAATGATTAAATTCAGTTGAGAAGAATGTAAAGATAAGCCACTTTGACCAAATCTAGAGTTAATGCGCACTAAAATTTGGCCCCACTAAAAAAGCTCCTGTTAATTAATTCGCTTCAAATTTTCCGAGCACTTTACTTTTTGCCGTGCATTCAAATTTGTAATTCTCCTCGCAATGGTTCTCTTTGATCCCAGTGAAATAAATAAACAAGGCACTAATATTTGCAAGCCGCAAACGTACAATCAAAGTCTAGACTTGAAGACTGGCTGGTTTGGCGCTGCTGCCAGAATAATTGGGCTGCGAGGCCAAGGAAGTTGCCAAGAGGGCGCGCGATCATTAATATCAATCAATCGCGTTTTAATTATCAAATGCGCGCCTCGTTATACGCACCGAGGGTCGCTGACTTGAATCTCATTTATATCAATTTCCTCGCAAGTCAAAATTTATCTAGTTAAAAACTAAAACCAAATCGGAATAAAAGTAAAAAAAAATCGTCCCTTTTTATCTCTCTCCTGTGAAAAGCGTCGGTTTGTTTTGGTTTCGTGACATCCAAATTTCTCACATTACCGAGAGAAAAAAAGCAGCACCCCTCTGAGATTGTTGCCGCTTTTAATGCACTCGTCGTGATGTGAGCAGCCGAGAAAGGGGTGATCCAATTACTCTGATTTCTGATAGCGCATCTCTGGCGAGCAATTAGGAAAACATAAAACTCGCCACCCACCCACCCGAGCAACCCTTTCAAGCCACCCCCCGAAACTTCTTCTTTTATTTAAATTGAATATATAAAAATATATTCAGGCGCATTAATAGAATTTTCCCACCCTCCCGTAGAGCTCGGACGAAATAAAAAGGCAAGGGTGACGTGTTGGGGTGCGATTTGCGACCACCAGGATAATAAAAAGTAGGGGAGCGTCTCTTTGTTATAAGGGATGCGTGCGCGTGCATTTTTGTCCGAGTTTCCCTCCCGGTGGCCGCACGAATTTGTTTTTGAAAAGTCGAACCGACGCAATTGTCAGGACTGGCCGTGCCAAAAGTCGAGGCTGCGAATTAAAATAAAGCTCTTTATTTTCTTTTGACGGCTTCCCCGGGGAACGACGCAACCCGTTTGTTAATTGTTTGGCAAAGTGTGGGCGAAACGAAGAAAGCAGGCCGGGCTGAAAATAGATGAGATTTATCGGAGAACTTTTCGGGCCGGTCAAGCTCATCCTCGCTGAGCCTCCGAGGAGAAAATATAAAATAGGAAGCGATAGTAGGGGAGGCGAAGAATTGAAGAAGCTGCCTTTCTGATGCGACATTAGCCTATTGAAATTTGAGGTCAGACGCTGCATTGTGTAACCAACCTTTTGACGCGATTATTTGTTTAGGATTGGACAGGAAGTGGCGTGGCTATGCACAGTGGGTGCCGTTCTTTGTCACCTTCTGCACCCGCGCGACAATTTGATTATTTTCACAGTCCCAAAGGAAGCTGAAAACCTAAAAATACTAAAAAAACGTGGTCTTGATGGCAAATTATTTCCACATTAAATACCAATTTTAAAGGTCATTTCCGTTAATTTTCTTCAATTCCATTTGTTATTGAAAATTTTAACAGTAAAAAGGGAACCTATAAATTTCTATTGAACTTCTTTACTGAATTAATATTTTAAAGGAGAATAAATTGACGCTTGGTCATCCCCGCTGGGCAAAAAATGACCTCCCGACCGAGCCGTTGCAAATCTCGCGAATTATCAGCGGCTTCTTTTGTTTTGGCCTCCCACGCGAACGCTCAGCCTAAAAATACCTACCGAAGCGCTGCTGTGCAGTTAGTTTCGTCGGCCGCCTTATTTACCCCGACAGACACATCTGGTGCCGCCGCCGCCGCGTGGCCCAAGCGACACAACGACCGGTTCGCCCACACGTCAAACTGCTGCCGCATTTAAACTGCAACGCCGCAACACCGGCCGCTGTAATTGAAAAAGTTTTACCGAACAGGCTTCAATTGATGAAATTCGGTCAAATAATTCGTTGTTTAGTCACAAGAAATACCCTAAAAGTGAATTGAACATTTTCAATGGAAAATCAAAGACATATTTACACAAAAACCAGGGAGAGAATTTTTAAAATAATATTTTGAAAAGCTTGTTTCATTGGCTTCAATTTTTGCCAAAAAACCCCGAAATCCAAGATGGCCGACACCGACAATTCGTTTTTCGGCTTTTGCATTCAGACAAAGAGATGTAGAAGTAATAAATATTTTATCATTTTAAAGGGCACGAAAAATCTGATGTATCCGTACCAATATTGGCTTTCCACAAAATGAAACTTTAAGGATTTTTTTTTATAATTTTGTATCAAAAAGGTTTTGCATGTTTTTCAACAAAACATTTTGCCTCACCTTTATCTATTCGTTTTTTTCAGTCCAATATGTGATTAGTGATTTATTAATCCGGTCGGTTGTGGTCATCGTCGGGAATTTTTGGCACCGCGGCCGATTCATTTTTCACCCACGCTCTTTGTTTTGCAGCAATTCTTTTTCGTTTTTTCGTTTAATATCGGCGTCGAGCATGTGGCTTGCGTTTTCACATCTGTCATCGGCGCTGCCAATGGCGGGGCCGCGCGCTTTGTCCCGCGCTCAAGTGAAATATATACGCAATATTTTACACTGTTTAGAGCGCGACCCGCAGCCACCCTCTCTCTTACTCAGACGACATAAAATACATTCTGCGAGCACAACAAAGGCCCTGTGTGTGTGTTTCTCGCTGCTACTTAAAATGTTTTGTTCTGCACTTGGGGCGCAAACTTACAAGTGCGGTTGTTGTGCGTGCCTCCGCGTTTATAATTGCCAGCCAGCGAGAGAGGAAAGCTGCCTTAATTGAATTGTTCCTTATGTAATTTATCGGCGGCATAACAGCCGATGCGGACTTGATTCGGCTCGATGGTACTTACGAAATGCTGGAAATATATTATGTAATTATTAATTGAAATTGTTCGAAATGCTTTCGGCGAGAGGATGTTTAATTAAAGCATTCCTGGAAAATTCCTACGAAAACAAACAATATAAATGCAAATAGACAGTGTTTTTTTTTTTAATAAAATAATAGAATTTCCAATGGAAAAGCAAGGTTGTAGCAAATGAAATTGTGCTGAGCATTTATAGGTTGTTGCAACTCACTCACTCTTTCAGACCTTGGCTCGTTTGATGCTGATGCGAATGGATTTAATGACTGATTTATTTTTACCTTTGTGTCGTAAAAGCAGCACTTCAACGCCGACGGTGCCGACGTTACGATAAAAAGCCTGGAACGCATTAAAATTTCAATATGCACCAAAACACATCGGCCGCAGTGTTATTTCGGGGCGAAACCCTCTCTGCGGAGAAATCTCGGAATTCCAGCAGTTGAGACGAATTTGTAGCAATTTTCTGTTATTTGAGCAACTAATTGACTAAAAAAATCCAACCAAAATCTCTTAATTTATAGAAACAAATTTTCTTGGCAAATTTAAAAGTCTTCGCTGAGCTTAATTATAAACCAACAGAAATTCAGATTAAGCTTGACAAAAAATAAAACAGCTTAATTGGCTCGTCTGCTTAAACACACAGAAAAAAGTGGTAAAAAGTGGTGTTTGCTTGTCTTGCCGGTGGGTGGATTAAATAAAGGACAACTCGAAGGCGCCAAAAGCAAAAAACTTGAGAGAAAACAGAGCACCAACGCGTCTGGTCTATAAATACGTGCTTTTATTATTGCGCTGGAAAGGCAAACATCCCGTTCGCGGCGTCCCTAAACTCAAAACCTTGACACTGGAAATATTTATGGCGAGGTTAAAATTTCAACGCGGCGCTGAAATTGCCCCGGCGTCGCAGCACCTCATCGATCTGTTTTCTAAAAAGGGTTGCAGAAATTAAGGGGAACTATTTTTAGGCCGAGCTGGAATATTGTTTGCGAAGGCATGCTTTTTTAATGACTGAAAAAAAAGTAAGCGAGTTGTCTTTTTAATGCGGGAGATTCTCGCACCCGCGAGAGGGCAAAATGAAAAGGGGTGGCGGAAAGAAGAGATGAAAAGCACTGTCTTTTCACATTCGCCTCAACCTGCGCGCGGTTTTTTATATACGACCAAATTGAAAGGTTCTTGTGTGTTATGAACTTAAAAAGAAGAGGACCAAAGTTCACTTTCTTTCAAATGCCGGCGGAGAAGTTTGAAAAGAGCGCTTTTAATAACTCCTGCCGCACTTTTTTTCGCCGCTTTTTATTCCTCCGGCGCGTCAGTTCCCTGAAATTCACGCGACGTTTGACAGATTAGCGTTGGCAAAAAAATTTAATATATAATATAATCAGCCACAAGGCGGAAAGCTTAGCCGAGAGATGAAATATGAAAATTTTAATGCACGCC